TGAGACCGCTCCTCACTTCACTGCCTAGTGTCCCGCCCTCTCCTCAGTGCGCAACTCCCTCTCTCCCCGCAGTATCATCCCTCTGTTAGCCTCTGACTCTCAACTGTTCGTGGACTACGTTCTCGGCACCGTGTGGGTTGACGACCCACTGTTTCAACAAGAGGTTATAGTTCTCCTACACCATCTTTACACAGCCCGCCTCGACCAACTGTTAGCTGCTGCATCTTCACTCAATAGGCTACTCTCCTTTATTGGAGGTTATAAAGAAGAAGGTCCACCAGGCAGCTGGCATGCAGCAGTATGTGCACGAGCAATCCTAGCATATTTGCAGCTTGGAACCATGAAGATTGGGAAGAGGTACAGCCTCGGTCAGTCACCGAAGGTTGCAGTGCATGCCGTCGAATGGAGGAGAGTTTTCTCGCTGGCTAGATCGATCGGCGCATATTCCAAGGCACCGTGTGTGAAAAAAGTGTAAAAATTTTTGGAAATAATTTCCGATAAAAAAAAGCACTTCTTAACTTGCCTATATATACTTCTGTGGTTTTTTTTTATGGGTCAACTCTACTGGTCAAAATAGTGCTGAAACTATATGCTCGACTTTTGAAGATTATAATCTCACATATATTTTTGTATTTTGTTTGCATCTCTTTAATGTATGAAACATTCTCTCACTCACCATGTTGTCCTCTATCACAACCAACAATGTCTCAATTCTCTTCCAATTCTTACACATTAAACTTCTGAATATCTGTGCACCATAGCTATATACCCAGCCTCTCCTATCAGCCCACTCCCCTCTTTTTTATTCCCTTCCTGTCTTATTCACAACTGTACCTCACAGACACCTACACCACCAGAGACCAGATATTTACACTAACATAAGTATGCCCAATGACAAATGACAGAAGCCCTTGTTAGAGACCAGGGTATATAGCTACCCATAATTACCAATGAGGCAAAAGAACATGTGCCCTACCAGTACAATACCCTCTTGTTATGTGCACATGCATGTCAAAAAAGAGATATTGAAGAGGTACACATGCCAATCTTAAGTGGTGTGATGAATACCTATGTAGGCTATGCCTTACATGCACAAGACAAAACAGAATTGCATGCTATCATCTCACTTGGTGTTGTATTTTTGGTTTTTTTCACTATGATGTTTTTATACTAGTGAGAGATCAGCTATATAATTATAGTAACACCGAATTGTAGATTTGTCGTGGCATAGCATTGGCTATGCATGGTGCTTCCGAAAACTCTCTCTTGAGAAGTCACCTTGCTATCCTCTGTTTCCACTCAGATCCAACCTCTCCAGTGATGGTAACTCTACTATGGTGACGGTGTGTATTCTACTTCACCTCCAGGGTCGCCAGAGATTGGAGGGAGGCGGGAACTGAGTCAGAGAGTTGTATGACAATAACAAAAGTGTGAGGTGCCCAAGTTTGGAGAGAGAAGAAGAGAGAGATGAAATTACATTGAGGGAAAGATTCAGAGCTGTGTGAAAAGAAAAATACAGTACAGGTTAGATGCCGAGCCCAGGAAACTACGCGAATTAGAGAGCCGCGGGGGCCCTGAGCTGTCGGCGTTCGAGCGCAGCGAGGACACTACTAAAGGGCCTCCAAGGCGCTCTAATGCGCGTGGTGTCTATGATGAGGCGTCTAACAGGTTTAGAGCCATACCAATTGCGCGTTGGCGACAGGCCTCGATACCTTCGGAGTGACTATCCACGACTGGCTTGAAGAACCAGACAACGATGAGGCTGAGCCTGTGTCTCTTCTCCTAGCAGCGAGCGACGACTACGAGACCCCGCCCAACAGCCAAGTTACCGCCCACTCCCACTCCCACTCCCACTCCAGCAAAGAGTGATGGCAACGCATGGCTAACCGCACGTTGGAGAAATGGCGACAGGCTTCGATATCTTCGGAGAGATGCGAGCTGCTCTTGCCACTTTCAACTTCAGAGAGTAGCTTAGTCTCAGCAAACTAAAACGGTTAAGCACGCGTGCGCATGGTCCAAAATTAGAGTCCGGTCTGCCGGACTCTACGCGATTTAGAGTCCGCTCACGAACCAATCAGTTACTTAGCTCTAACATGGGCTTAGAATAGAAGTTGTTACACTATTGGATAGACACCCTAATTCTAGGTGCTGTGACAGGCAGGCACGTAGCATTGAAAAAAGGGTGCTCGTTTTGAGCAGGGGGACGTTCCTGAACAAAACATTTTCTTGTCAGTTGTCTAATTTTCTTGGTAAAATTATACGTGCACTATGAGCTAAAAAGAAAGGCTTAATATGCACGTACGAGCATCCTTGAGACCAGAAATTTTTCACTTTACTTACACAGTACTGCGCATGCTGCTAGACAAAAACACTACGCATACCAGACATTCGTCGTTCCTTGAAGTCGTCGTCATCACTATCTGCTTCGTCATCACGCTCCGTGAAGTACTCCGTAAACACTTCCGTTACGGAGGAGTTATTTTTTCGTCTGTCTGTCTGTTACCACATTTCTGCCACCATTAGCAACGAGCGATACTAAAAGGTTGAACCGTACAATTTTGAGCAAAGTTTGTAAAGTGCTGTGTGAACCCTAGTGATAAATCCAATATACAAATTAGGCTTACCTCAACCAGATCAGCTCGCTCTGCTCTTTCTCCATTACTGATGTCCTCTTCTCCACTCCTTAAGAACTGTTTCTTCAAGAGATCACATTGTGGGTTTCTCAACGAGCCTTTTCTTGACTCCAACTTCTGTTAAACTACAGACTCGTGTTAATTTGCTAGAGCATTCAAATTTTGTTGCACAATCACCCTACCCAACTGCTGTGTGCATGAACAATCATGGTAAGTCCCCCTCACATAGAGACCGTACTCACTCTCTCGCATTCGTCTCAGGAGCAAATCCATCATGGTGAGGAACAAGGTTGGAGAGAGCACCGAACCCTGTTTGACACCTCGAGAAATGCGGTACCGCGCATGCGCAGTTCACCGAGGGTGTTAAAGTGCAAACTCGGTGCATTGTGACGCGCACGCGTAAGTAAACGCATGTACCGTACCACTAATTGATGGGCTGGGTTTGCTTTTAGCTGTCTCTTGCCAGCTCGCGCAGAGTCTGACGCGGGCTAACTACATAGCATGATAGAGGCGATACACGCCCTGCGTTGCATCTTCTGGTGTCTCCGATGAGGTACGCAGAGCACGCGGATCCGATCGATCAGACCGTGGTAAAGCCATCCCACTTCTCGAATGTTTGTTCGTCTCACAAAGGATACGACCTACTTTAACTTCTCTGAAACTGCTCCGTTGCAAAGCTAGAGCGCGAAAAAGCCAATATGCAAATACAAACGGACGGGTACCACGGTCTGCGTACCTCGGAAGCACCAGAAGATGCAACGCAGGGCGCGTATCGCCTCTCGCATGCTATTAATAATTTTAACGACCACTAAAGAGCCAGGGTGCACTGGTCACCTACTATTGTGCATGATGAAAGAATGATAAATAAATGAGGATACGGAGTGGTTCACTCGCGGGTGTGTATGGATGAGTAAAAATATAAACTTCTGTTCCTGGGACATAAAACGATAGAAAGGGAAGTGATTTTCTACAGTTGTTTCCCATTTGAATATTGTGGACACACACACAAAAAGTGATATTCATCTTCGATTGTGTCACAGACTGTACATAGTCGATCTGTTACAGGGAGAGGCCTGGGCTTATGGAACCTTCCTATCTCAATTGCCAGTGAATGTGAGCTGGTTCGTAATCTTGCCATGGCTGCGCGATATTTAGGTTGATGGATATTTAGAAGGTAAGGTTCCAATTCGAATATATGTTTTAATTTTCTGTAGGTCCGCAATTTATTCCCTCCTGGGCCTCCCTCATTGTGTTCTCTTTGTAGATATTCATTCCATTTCTGTAGGAACTGATCTCTCATTGTGCACATTAGTTGATTCCTTAGGAAAGGCTCACATCCATCAAATTCTGATGTAAAACCTGTGTGGTTGAATAGCGACAAACCCAATTATTTATTCTATTAGCTACATTGTGAATGGAGAGATTTTCTGCATCTTTTAGTAGAAGTTGGATGTCCTCTGGACAAAGTCTGTCCCAATATTTCAACAGTCTTTCTTTCCACCACAGATGAAGAGGAAGTTGTCCTAATTCTCCTCGGACTGCCATGGTTGGTGTTGAGACCGGAACTTCTTCAAAACCCCAGATCTCACATCCATAACACATGATCGGTACCATAAATATCTCATAGAGTTTGAGCATTACCGGGACTGGTGGACTTGAATATAGGTGTAACAGTGGAAAAGAAGCCTTTCGTGCTTGTTGGGAAATGTGTTGTCTTGCCTTATTAACCCTCGGCGCGCATGCGCAGGGAGGGTTACGGTAGTTGGGTTTGTGTGTCTGTCTGTCTGTTACTCATCATCTCGCTTCTCGAGTGTTCGTTCGTCTCACAAAGGATACCACCTACTGAACGGGCGACGAAGGTCAGAAAATATGTGGGGTTTTCTCAGAAAATGCTCCGTTGCAGAGCTACAGCGCGAAAAAGTCAATATGCAAATACACAACGGACGGGGCGGCTAACCACGGTCTGATCGATCCCCGTGCTCTGCGTACCTCGGAGGCACCAGAAGATGCAACGCAGGGCGTGTATCACCTCTCGCATGCTATCTAGTAGTGTAGTTAGCCCGCGTCAGACTCTGCGCGAGCTGGCAAGAGACCACGAGTAACAGCTAGAACTAAACCCAGCCCATCAATTAGTGGTACGGCGCATACGTTTACTTACGCGTGCGCGTCACAGTGCTCTGAGGGTTTGCTCTTCAGTGCTTTTCATTGAATTTACCCATTTTTTTGAGAACCAGACTCCAAGGTAACTACTGTTTCAAGATGAAAGTCTTTCCAAAGAAATGGCCCCTGATACCTGCTTCTTCCAAATATACATATCTTTGTATTTACCTCAAGTTTCCATTTCTGGCAAAATAACTGTAGAGACTTAAGATGTTTTTGAAGGCCTGCTGCACTTTGATATAATGTCATCTGCATACATGAGTAGGTCCAAACGGGTGTTGAACATCTCAACCCCAGCATTGTTTATTCCCAGTTCCAGCTCTAGGTCACTAGTTTACATTGCAGCTACAAAAGTACAGCCTCCTGGTGCACTACAAGAAGGGGAAGCAGATGTACTTAGCAGCCGAGCTTACCTGCTGGAAACTCACTGCTCTTCTATGGTCCTTGAAGTGGCTACACTTGACCCCTCTACAGGTCTGGCACTGTCACAAGTGAGGCTGCACCAGTTCAGACATGCCTCCACAGATGACCCTACTCTTATCGCGCTTCGCAGGACTATCCAGCAGGGCTGGCCAGCAAGCAAGTCCGGTCTCACTGAGTCTCTGCACCCATACTACGACTTCCGTGATGAGCTCACCACTCAGAACCAGCTTGTCTCCCTGGTGGTTGTTCCCATTACTCTGCGGAGAGAGATGATGTCAGTGTGTCATGCAACACATGTTGGTGTGGAAGGCTGCATCCGAAGGGCAAGGAAGTCCATGTTTTGGCCCCGCATAGCCACCGAACTCATTTCGAAATGCGAGACCTGTGTGACACACCGAGCCCTACCACAGAAGGAGACGTTCCTGCAACACGACAAGGTTGGCGCATATCTCTGCGAGATACAAGGACGTACCCTTCTGGTTGTGTGTGACTATTTCAGTAATTTTGTTGAGGTGGAGAGCCTTCCGACAACCACAACCAGAGCTGTGTGCAAAGAGCCCTCTTGGCGTGGTATGGAGTTCCTCATGTGCTGGTGACTGACAATGGGCCCCAATTGGCATCTGCCGAGTTTGCCACCTTCGCAAAGGTCTGGGGTTTTCAACACCAGACATCGTCACCACACTACCCGCAGTCGAACGGGAAGGCAGAGAATGCTGTGAAGCGACTGTTTGCCAAATGCCGCGAGTCTGGTCAGTCGGAGTTCCGTGGGAAACACACCAACTGCACCAGCCCAGCACAACGATTTCTGGGGCGTCGGTGCTGAACGCTGTTGCCAATGACCAACGCTCAGCTAATGCCACTGTATCCAACAGCAGATGCTGCTCGAGTCCTACAAGGCCAGAAGGCCAAGCAGCAACACCACTATGACAAGTACGCTCGAGACCTTTCCCAAATCACACGGTCAGGATGCGTCTCCCTGGCCAGAAAACATGAACCCCGGGGATCTGCACTGGGATCACATCGAACCTTGTACGAACACACCAGTGCATACGGAACCCAACCCGATTTCGAACATGCCCGCACAACAACTTCCCCGACGCTCAGAGAGAGTCCGCAAGCCACCAGACCAGCTTATTTACTAATTGTTGAGTGAGTATATACTGTACCTTTTAAAAACTACCTTACGCGTTAGGACAAGTGTAACTGCAAAATAGGGAAAAAAGAAACAAACATTTTTGCCTGTTAATTTTCTTTACATTACTTTCTGTAACCATCGTATGTCTGTAGATGTAACGAGTACATAGGATTGTATACCTGTATACTCTCGTGACTGCACGTGGTGTGTGAGATTTTGTACTGTGTGCATTCTGTGTCAATGGTGGTTTTGAGCTAACTGGCAGCCGTCTCTGTGCCTGCACCTCTGCGCATCACAGAGGCTGTCTGCCACTCTCTGTTCTGCCAGCTGTGGAAGAAGCTCACGCCTCACATGGTCGTCACCAAACCCATTTTGGACGTGTGCTTGATGTGCCAGAGAAACAGCTCCCTTCATCATGCATTCCCACAACCAACCTGTGGAGGAAAACACAGCGGTAAAGTTGAAAGTTGACAGCAATGTGTGTAGGTATATATACAGAATACAGGTGTTGTATTAACCCTTTGGATGCCATCTGCTTAAATAAGGAGGATTGATGAAAGAGTTCTAGCACCTAGTATTAATAGTCCCTGTTATAGGCTCAGGAGGAAAACACAGCGGTAAAGTTGAAAGTTGACAGCAATGTGTGTAGGTATATATACAGAGTACAGGTGTTGTATTAACCCTTTGGGTGCCATCTGCTTAAATAAGGAGGATTGATGAAAGAGTTTTAGCGCCTAGTATTAATAGTCCCTATTACAGGCTCAGGACACATTTAAGTATCGGTGGCTGGTGTTAAGTTTATTATTTACAGACAGACACTCCAACAAGCACCTTATGTTGGTGACACAAGAGCGCTCTGTCTACAGGAACGCACTGGAAGAAAGCAGACGGCAGGTGCAAGCTCACTTGCAAGATGGGAGGTTTGTTCCACCGTCACCTCACCCGATGATTGCACCTGCTACAAGTAACATCATGGCACATTTATTTTGCTCATTATCCTAGACCCCCACTGCGGCCCGGCCCTTTTTAACACCTAGGAAGGCCGCCATCTTTTGTGAAACCACCCCACAGCGAATGCTACAAAGACCTTCTGCCCTGTGGTGAGGCTGGAATCTATCTGGACTCTGTCGGTGCAGCACATTCTCCAGCTACATCAGGTTGATGTCACCACTGCCTCTCTCAATGGCAAGCTGGAAGAGGAGGGTTTTGTCACTTTGCTTACTGAAGAAGAGTCTGTACGCCCTGAAGCAGTCACCACGATGCTGGAATATTGCCTTCTAAAAGGGCTTGGTTTTGTCCAAGTTGAGAGTGATCCCTGTATCCATCGTGCATCAAGTGGAGAGCCAATCTTCATTGGTGTCTACGTTGATGACATCGTGATGGCTCAAGAGCAAGGGACGACTCACAGAAGTAAAGCAGTCCCTTGTCAAGAAGGTGGATATCAAGGACCTAGGAAAGCTACAGCACTTCCTCGGAATGAAAATCGTCCAAGACGAATCCACTGGAAAAGCGTAGGTTGGGCAGCAAATTTACACGGTAAACCTGCTGAGGAAGTTTGGAAGGAAAGTGCAAAGCCCGTTGCTACTCCTGTTGATAGCAGCGGAAAGCTCATGAAAGCGACAGTTAATGACGGGTGCATCGATCAACAGAATATCGATCAGCTGTTGGAAGTGTACTGCACTTGCCCATGGCCACCCGAGAGACGTCACATTCGCCATCAGCATTGTTGCAACGTTCTCTTCACATCCACATTGGAAAGCGGTAAAGCATAATTATTATGAGGTATCTCAGAGGGACTGCTGACTACGGTCTAGCTTCTACTGACGCATCAGGTGACTGTGTCGGATACTTGGATGCCGATTGGGGTGGTGATCTTGAACATAGGAAGAAGGACAAGTGCTCCAATTGGCAGAAACAACGTTTTTTAGAGAGAAAAACGGCCGAAAAGCCAGCAAATGAGCAGAGAAAGCGTGGAGCAGTGTTCAAATGCGTAGTAAGAAAGACGTCACGAAACGGAGGAAACCCTGCGCATGCGCATCCAAAACGGTGCAACTGCGCGCGCAGAGTGTGGAGCAGTGAGATAAATGCTCCAATTGGCAGAAACAACGTTCCAGTTGTTCCTGCGCATAGAAAGCTTGGAGCGGTGACAATAACGTATATATGCGCATATACAACGAGGGAGATAAAAGTTGCAATGGACAACGTGGAATGCATGAATATTTACTTGCAAATATCACGTGGAAAACGTTCCAATGCGTGTATACAACGAGAAAACGTCAGAAACGCGTATGCGCATCAAAAACGTGCAAATGCCTATAGAGCAGTGACATAAATCTCCACTGGGCATATATAACGTATTTTAGGTGAGAAAACGCAAACATGGAGAGAAAGCATGGAGCACTCTTTCAATGGGCCGAGGAAAAACACAAAAGAGCCAGCAAATGCGTATTGTAAACGAGCAAATGAGCAGAGTAAGCGTGGAGAATAACGTTCCAACGTATAAACAACGTGTTTTAGTGGGAAAAAATTCCGAAAACGCAGATAAAAGTGCACATGCCCATGGAAAACGTGCAAATGTCTATAAACGCAAATTAAGATACCTTAAATACGTGATCTCGACACCCGCAAGCGCACATCAGTTTTTCGAGCAGTTTCCACATCAGCCAGCTGAAGATGGCTCAACGCCAGCGAGGCTCCACCGATACCTAGTTTCGCGGAGCGCCTCAACTGCGCCCGTTTCTCCTGCGGGACGTGAGACGGCCGCTGGGCAGCGTGTCGTACGGAGCCGCTGAGGAACTGCAAATGGCTGGCCTCGTTTGCGCCGGGAAGACGATGTACTACGCTCTAATAGACCCCAGGAATCAAGGCACCCAGAACATGGTCCAAAAGTACTACAAAGAATGCAGTTTGCTCTCGGAACTTCGTCATCCGCACATCGTCCAGTTCCTGGGTATCTGCTTCTCTCCCGAATCCCGACTACCCGTTCTGGTGATGGAGCGACTGCCACACGAGCCTCGACGACATGCTGGAGCAATATCCCGACATCCCTCTTCACGTGAAGCTGTCGATTCTCCACGACGTGACGAAGGGGCTGGTTTTTCTGCACACTCGGAATCCGGTTATCGTTCACCGCCACTTGACGGCCCGCAACGTTCTCCTTGACGCTGCCATGACGGCTCGCCGACCTGGGTAATTCCAGGATTACCAATCTCCGACCGGGACAGCTTGCCGGGACCATGACGAAGGAAATCCCAGGCACTCTGGTCTACATGCGTCCAGAAGCCGACACAGATCACTACTATCCGCCACTAAACATGTTCTCGTTCGGTCATCTCTCCGTCTTTACTGCCACTCAGGTTTGTTCATTAGTTGTGATCTTATTTCACACAAATCGTTAAGTTGGGACATGATGGCGATCTGCCTAGGTTAGCGGTCACGGTGTTATTTCTCTTGGCTTGTTGTACGCCATGTAAACATGTAAACCAGCTTGTTTACGTTCGTCGTCCATGCGGACAGAGCGGCGGTTACCATAGCTACGGTCTGAAGCGCACTCAGTATTTCTCGAAGGAAGACGGTGGATACGCCAGCTCTTCGCATGAAAAACGTTGTGGATGGATGTCTGCCTGCCCTTCTGATTGTGTTATCCAACACGCGCATAAACAATGTGTTTTAGTGAAGGAAATGCAGAAAAACCTGCGCATGCACACGGTGCGAGCAGAGAGCAGTGAGAAAAACGGTATATTAATGAAAAAACGAGAAAAAAGTGCGCATGCGCATTAAAAGCGGTGCAAATGCCCGCAGAAAGTGTGGAGCGACACTTCAATAAGCAGACACAACGATGAGAAACACACCTATAAAGGCAGACAAAGCACATGCAAATTTTTTCTGTGTTTTCGACAGTTTTCTCATAAATCACAAATTATTCTGCCAATTGAAATGTTTATGTCACTGCTTCACACTTTCTCTAGGCTTTTGCTCCACTTTTGATGCGCATGCGCACGTTTTTCAGCTTTTCGGATCTTTTCT